GCAGTAAATAAATAAATAGATAGAGAAATAAAGCAGGGATGCACTTTTTTTGAAAAACTACCTCCATTCAACACATGGCAGGAAGAAGACATAGAAGGTAGCCACATGGCAAAGGAAGAAAAACCTGTTTATTCATTTATAACCTGATTGTCTTTTTTAAAAAATCTGCTGGGATCTATAGGAAAAAAAGCTACTAAAACTAATGTGAGTTCAACAAGGTTTTAGGATAAAAGATCAATTTATTTCTAAGTATCAGCAATAAACAGTAGAAATTCAAATTTTAAAACTACCATTTATAATAGCATCAAAATGACAGCTGAAATAATCATAGATAAATATGACAGAGAGTGTGCATATCTTCTGCTCTGACAATGACAAAACTGCTGAGAATTTAAAGACCTAAATAAATGGAGAGACAGACTACGAACAGTAGTCAGAAAACTCAACACTGTTAAAATGTCAATTCTCCAGTACTGATCTACAAATACAATCCAAATCAAAATACAAGTAAGCTTTTATTGGTGAAATTTTCAAGACATTCTAAAATTCATATGAAATTCGAAGCCACATCATCTTTGGACAATAGAAAACACGTGGAGGACTAACACTAATTTCAAGATTTACTAGTAATTGCAAAAATTAAAATATCATTATAATGGTATACAGGATGAAGAAAGCGACCAGTAGACCAAAGATACCAGAAACAGAGCTACACAGATATGAATGGTTTTCTACAAAATGCAAAGGCAATCCAGCGAAGACATGATTTTCAACATATGGTGCTGGTGACAAGAATCCCTGGTCACATAGTGGATAAGAATCCAGCTGCCAGTGCACGGGACATGGGTTTGATTCCTGGTCCAGGAAGATTCTACATGCAGAGTAACTAAGGCTGTGCACCACAGTTTCTGGGTCCACATGCTGCAACTGAAGCCTGCTCCTCTAGGGCCCACTAGCTGCAACTACTGAGCCTTTGTACTGCGGCTACCGAACCCCATTTGCCCTAGAGTCCATACACCCCAATTACTGAGCCCGAATGCTGCAACTACTGAAGTCTGTGCTCTGCAACAAGAGAAGACACCACAGTGAGAAGCCTGTGTGCTGCAATAAAGAGTAGCCCTTGCTCACCAAAACTGGAGAAAGCCTCTGCAAAGCAATGAAGACCTGGCACAGCCAAATACATAAAATCATTTTAAAAGAACAAACAAATGGTGCTGGAACACACTGAATCCATACGCAGAAAACAACAACAACAACAACCCTTTAATTACCATATATAAAAATAGCTCAAAATGGATCATAAACCTAAATATAAAACTTAAAACTATAAAGCTTCTAGAAGAAAACACAGGGAAACATCTTTGTAACCCTGGGGAAAGAAAGGATTTCTTAGATATTTACAATGCTCATAGTGTGATTCTTCACAAAGGAACAAATTAACAAATTGGGCAACATCAAAAGTAAACACTTCTGCTCTATGAATAACATTATAAAGGTAACAAAAAGGCAAGCCACAGGGTAGGAGAAAATATATGGAAAGAATCTAATTTATCAAGGATTTGTATCCAAAATATATGAGACTCTCAAAATTCAATGATTAAAAGCACACAACTCATTAAAAAATTTGAAAAAATATTAGAACATCAGTGAAGTTATATGTATGGTAGATAAGTACAGAAAAAGATGCTTAATATCAGTATTCAGGGAAATGCTAATCAAAACAATAAGATACCACTACACATCTGTTACAACAGACAAATCTAGGAAGACTGACCATACACAACACTGGTGAGGATACACAGCACCTAGAAGTATCTTATACAGCTGGTGGAACTGTAACAGGATAAAGTCACTTAGAAAAACAGTTTGGTAGTCTCTTAAAAAAATTAAACATATATCTAATTATGATCTCCTTTCACTATTCAGTATCGTAGGGCTTGCCTGTGCTCAGATTATAAAGAATCTGCCTGCAGCTCAGGAGAACTGGGTTCCATCCCTGGGTCAGAAAGATCCCCTGGAGAAAGAAATGGCGACCCACTCCAGCATTCTTGCCTGAGAACTCCCATGGACAGAGGGGCCTGGTGGGCTACAATCCATGGGGTCGCAAAGAGTTGGTGATGACTGAGCGACTAACACTTTGACTTTCAGTATTTACCTAAGAAAAAAGAAAAGTATGTGTTCCTACAGAGACTTATACTTAAATGTTCAAGCACCTTGTTTGCAACAGCCCCAAACAGTAATAACCTGAAAGCCCCTCAACAGGCTAATGGATAAATTGTGCTATACCCATACCTAGAATAATCAACAACAATAAAAAGAACTTATTTCACTTGGCATTATGTCATTCAAGTTCTTCCATGTTTTTTCATATGGCAGCATTTCCCTCTTTTCAAAGACTGAATAGTATTGCTCTATGTTATATTACACATTTTAATTTATTCAGTCATCCATTGATGAATATTTAGGTTGCTTCTAAGTCTTGGCTATACTCACATAAGGAACCAAAAATTGTAAAATTCATAGAAGCAGAGAGTAGGATAGAGGTAGCCAAAACCTGGGGGAATGAGGAAATGCAGAAGTAATCAAAGGATATAAGTTTCAGGTATGGAAGATGGGTAAGTCCTAGAGTTCTACTATACAACACAGAGTTTACAGTTAGTAATACTGTACTATATATTTAAATATTTGCTAAGAAGGTAGACCTTATATTAATGTTGTTAATCACAAAATAAATAAATAAGATAGGATAGGAGGAAACTTTTAGAAGTGATGGGTATGTTTATGGCATAAGTTGTGGCAATAGTTTCAAGAATATGTACTTATCTCCAAACTCAAGGTGCATGCATTGAACATGCACAGCTTTTTATATATCAATCAAACCACAATAAAGTGGTTTTAAAAAATGATAGAATAGTGTGGCTTCCCTCATAGCTCGGTTGGTAAAGAATCCGCCTGCAGTGCAGGAGATGCTGGTTCGACTGCTGGGTCGGGAAGATCCCCTGGAGAAGGGATAGGCTACCCGCTCCAGTATTCTTGGGCTTCCCTTGTGGCTCAGCGGGTACAGAATCTGCCTGCAATGCGGGAGACCTGGCTTTGATTCCTGGGTTGGGAAGATCCCCTGGAGAAGGGAAAGGCTACGCAATGCAGTACTCTGGCCTGGAGAATTCCATGGACTGTATAGTCCATAGGGTCACAAAGAGTCAGAGGACTGAGTGACTTTCACTTCACTATTGTTAAACAAAGCAACATGGTTTAATCTCAAGATAATTATCTTAAGTAAAAGGAGCCATACAAAAAATAATATGTACTATACAATGTCTTATATAAAATTCTGAAAAATGCAAACTCATAGTCTGAAGGCAGAACTGTGGTTGCCTGGTGGGGTTAAGGAAGGGCATGGGGGAGTAGGTTACAAAGGGCATAAGGGAGACTAGGTATGGGGCAGAGGTTACAGAGCAGCAAAAACTCTGGGGCTGATCTTATCACCTTAATTGTAACAATGCTTTCACTCATATGTACATTTGACAAAACTTATCAAATTCAATTGCACTTTAAATGTGTGCCTTTAATTATATATCTCAAAGTTGCTGTTTTTTAATGGCATTAGTAATCTAAGTAGGAATAGTTTGTGCAGGAAACTGCATTACAAATGGGACATAAGGAGGCAGAGACTGAGTGCAGACTACTTTCTCAAGAAGCTCATCAGCTTTGGGAACAGGAGAAGGAGAAGATGAGAGGAAGTGGAAAACTGACATAACCAGACAAAAAGTGGAATTACATGTGTTTTAAGCTGGGAGGAGCCTGAGCATATTTATAAGCTGTAGAAAAGGAGCCAGTGGAGAGAATGAAATTGAGAATGTAGCGGTCAAGAGCCAACTGGTGTAATGTGAGGATGGAATATCCAAGAAAAAGGTAAGTCTTGAATAAGACCAATCTTATGTATATACAAGCAGGCATGTTTTGTGGTTGGGTTGGTAAATGCAGGAGTGGATAGAAGAGTTAAGAGTCTGAGTCTGTGATTCTCTTCCTTTTTGGGGGAAGAATTAGGTATGAGAAGTTTAGGATACTTAAGAAGGTTGCTAGAGCTCTAGAAAAGCTACTGGCTATGGAAACTGATATGTGGTTGGAGTTAACTGTTCAACTTAGGGGCATTCTTCTGTAACAAGATGGCAGACAATAAGATGCTTTTGTGCAAACAAAGTAGCTACCATTTACACATGTACATAATGGATTATTATCCAACAATCCTTTTCTGCTCTCTCTTTACCCCTAGAATACTTCACTCATGTGCTAAGCATTCTGTTGATCCCACTCTTTTCTCCCTCAATTCACCATAGACTTTTTTTTTAAGCTCCTTAAGTTTGTTGGGAGGTATTTCTAACATATGCATGAAAATAAAGAATAATTTAATGAACAGCAATGTTCCACCATCCAACTTTGTTCGATCATTACACTCTACCATATTTACCTCATTTAACAAAACCCTTGAACCAAAGCAAGCTAACTGGACAAGAGAGATTTCATCACCAGCAAACATTAACATCCTCGCTCACCTGTCACAATTTACTTATTTTGTAAATAATACCCAGAGCACCTCTGATAGTTTCAGGTTTTACTGTGGGTAGATACAATTGGCCAGCAATGGCCTCTGGCAAGCTAGTTGGTAGTTCCCCCGAAGTAAAGCGCTAATATGTTAGAACTGTGTGAATTCGATCATACCCAAAGTCCTGGGTTTGGAAAAAATGCTGTCAACACATGAATTTTTAATACAAATGATAATTATGATTCAGAGCAATGACACCATTTTCCTTAGTGTTCTAACACTCATTGCCACTTCAGCATTGGTAAATTTGAGGGTGGTTAATAAAAAATATTTTTCCTCATGTCATGTAAAATTTCTGAAGCTGAAAGCATGCAATCAGTTCTAAACACAAGAGCTTTGGTCTCCAAGAAGTAATAAATCATCTGTTAAATCTAAAACACTGTAATGTGAACAGTACCTGCCAAAACAGACTGTGTGCATCTCCTCTCAGAAGTTCAACTGTATCCCCTGCCTGAATGTGTAATGGGGGTCCTTCATGAAGAGCGGGGGGCGGCGTTCCACTGTAGTTCCTAATAGCCTGCATCTTTGGTAAACCTGAAAATAAGCAACACAACTCTTAGGATTATGAAAATAATAAAGTGTGAAATCCAAATGTACTTCTAAAAAAAAAAAACAAAGCCATTAGGAACATGAAAGAGTTTTAATAGCACCAAGCCCAAGGAAACATACGAGGTAACCACAATGGAATGCTTTTCAAGTTTCTCATTATTTGAGATGGTAATAAAATAAGACACATATTTATCCCCTGATTCCTTATACATTTTTCCTTATACATTTCCCTCACCATCAATCTCTTTTTAGTTGAAAAAATTTTTCTCTTTCAGCTGATGTCTACTTCATAAAAAACACATCACGTACAGTTTAATGGAAAAGAATCAATTTTTTCATCAACTCTGTCCTTTCTGCCTATTACTTTCCTCTTGGGCATCGGCTGATTTCATCACTAAGGAAGCTCACCCTTTCTGTGTATGTATCACATTGCCCAGTATAAGGCTCATATCTTAAGGTTATCTTTGTAATTCAAAACAAAACGGTGATGGATGTGCCACTGCAATACTTAAGACATTTATATGGAGAAATTCTTCAGGCTCAAATTTAGGCTTGCAAAACAGACCCAATAAAGGGAATGTGTCTAAGCCAATAGTATCAACAGTACTTGAAATACTGATCCAGGCCTTTTCTTTCTATTTCTTGGAATGGGCAATGAAGGCCTCAGTTTGGAATTTCATTTTTGTGAACAGTAGCTTCAACTGCACCCAGGCCTGACTGCACCGACACGGCTTCCAAATGCACCACATCCCAGTCACCTTTTCATCTGGAGGTGAAACTGCTGCCAACAAGGCTGATTGCACAAAACACGGCATCTGTTGCACACTGAAGGACTTAAGCTATTGCTTATTACACTTCAAGACTTTTTATTCTAATGCTTAAAAACAGTGACACTATAACTGGTTGAAATTGTTGCACTAAATAGAAGAGGGTGAATGACCATCATTCAGTTCTAAGTGTCCAAGTTACCTTAAAAGGACCTCTGTGTCTATATGAAATACTCCAGCAAAAGGTTGAATAAAGTCCCCAAAATCATTTCTTAATAACCACCCAGCAGGGGATGAGGAGAAAACAAGTGTGGCTATAAACTAAACAGAAATGATAAGTTTTATTCAACACTTTCTTATCAGCCCAGTCGATCAGAAGACAGAAGGGCTGAAAAGCAACACGCCCTGCACCCCATTTAACGGCTGTAACTGCCGAGACGAGTTTTGAGTTGCCACATCTCCCCTTTGCTTCAGTTCTTGTGCCACAGAACCCTGAAGCGATGACTTTGATCCCACGTCTCTCATGGAGTTTCCCCACCAGATGGTAGAAGGCGGTGGCACCCTTAAACAAACAGCAGACATTGTCTTTTCCAAAATGAGAGAACTCTTCTCGGTCAAGTGTTTATCAGACTCACTCTTAACATACTACACCTGAGTGTGTGTGTGTGTATTAGTCACTCAGTTGTGTTCGAACTTTGCGACCCCATAGACTGTAGCACACCAGGATCCTCTGTCCATGGGATTCTCTAGACAAGAATACTGGAGTGGGTTGCCATGCCCTCCTTCAGGGGATTTTCCCAACCCAGGGATTAAACCCAGGTTTTCTGTATTGCAGGCAAATTCTTTATCATCTGAGCCACCAGGGAAACCCATATTTCAGTACAGAAAGCTTATTTTACATTTTTTATTAAGATAATGTGGTTAACATAAAATGAGACCTAAACATCCCATGCACACCAAAACAGATTTAGAAGTTTAATAGATGGAAGAGGATGCTAAAATAGAATTTTTCAAATGCAGCATGGTTTGCATGATAATTATTCCATGTTGAGGGGCCAGAGTAACCCTTGGTTTGCAGTAAGCCTCAGTTTTACTGAGCATTTCTAGGGCAAGAAAGGCATTTTGTTCAGTAGGCGCCCTTGATAATTTTGTTTTTATGTCAATTTTTAAATAAAGGCTGAAGACAAAAAAGAAAACTTTTTAAACCTGGAAGAGTTGATGTGGCCCTAAATACTGGGATCAGTTGAATGACAGGAAGGGCCCTGGCCTTCACTGCAATTCTCTCTGTAGACAAAGATCCACAGGGACAAAAAGAAGCAGTGCCGTGTGACAAATGGTGGGAACAGCAATTCTCTTACTGCCGATGTGCCCAAGTTACTCATTCTCAAGAAGAAATGATTGAAAATGAATAGACTTAAAAAAAATACGGAACACTTCATGAATTTGTGTGTCATAAGAAAAAATTAAGTTTCATGACATTTCACCAACCCTTTTGTATAGGTTATGGATTAAAATCCAGAATGCCCAGGCTATACAAAAAGGCTGTGGAAGAGGTGTGGAGCAATGTTGAATTATTTATGCTTTTCAATGGACTAGAATGCTAACAACATATGACCTAGTAAAATCATAATATTTAAAACTGAAAATAGTACATATATTAATATACTTCAGTCAAATAATGAGACCTAAGTACTAGTCTTAGGATTTACTTTGGACTAAGCAGTTAGAACTGGACATGGAACAACAGACTGGTTCCAAATAGGAAAAGGAGTATGTCAAGGCTGCATATTGTCACCCTGATTATTTAACTTATATGCCGAGTACATCACGAGAAACGCTGGGCTGGAAGAAGCACAAGCTGGAATCAAGATTGCTGGAAGAAATATCAATAACCTCAGATATGCAGATGACACCACCCTTGTGGCAAAAAGTGAAGAGGAACTAAAAAGCCTCTGATGAAAGTGAAAGAGGAGAGTGAAAAAGTTGGCTTAAAGCTCAACATTCAGAAAACTAAGATCATGGCATCTGGTCCCATCACTTCACGGCAAATAGATGTGGAAAGAGTGGAAGCAGTGTCAGACTTTATTTTGGGGGCTCCAAAATCACTGCAGATGGTGACTGCAGCCATGAAATTAAAAGACCTTTACTCCTTGGAAGGAAAGTTATGAGCAACCTAGATAGCATATTAAAAAGCAGAGACATTACTTTGCCAACAAAGGTCCATCTAGTCAAGGCTATGGCTTTTCCAGTGTTCATGTATGGATGTGAGAGTTGGACTGTGAAGAAAGCTGAGCACCGAAAAATTGATGCTTTGAACTGTGGTGTTGGAGAAGACTCTAGAAAGTCCCTTGGACTGCAGGGAGATCCAACCAGTCCATCCTAAAGGAGGTCAGTCCTGGGTGTTCACTGGTAGGACTGATGTTGAAGCTGAAACACCAATCCTTTGGCCACCTGATGAGAAGAGTTGACTCATTGGAAAAGACTCTGATGCTGGGAGGGATTGGGGGCAGGAGGAGAAGGGGACGACAGAGGATGAGATGGCTGGATGGCATCACCTACTCAATGGACATGAGTTTGAGTAAACTCTGGGAGTTGGTGATGGACAGGGAGGCCTGGCGTGCTGCGATTCATGGGGTGGCAAAGAGTCGGACACGACTGAGCGACTGAACTGAACGGAACTGAAGCAGTCTTTGGAATGATGGACTTGGTTTTCATGTCTTGTTTATTCCTGATTTTTTCATTTATTCTATTTTTTCTGCTATTACTTTCTTCTTGGTTATGAGCTTCATTTGGGGAGTTGATTGAGTAGCACACAAGCACAGGGTATGGTGCTTATCTCAATCCATTAAACAAAAGTTGTGTGACCCTTGCCAAGAATATGGTTGAGCCCAGGTAATAGTCAAAGGAGATTGCTACTAGCCCGAATTCAGCCATACCTGGTTTGCAAGATATGTTTACTTGACTCACATGCTTTTCAGTGGGATGAGTTATAAATTTATAGTAGAATGGAATTTATATTTTTTGGCCACTTGTTAGGATCATCTTTGGCTATTTATTTCTCATTGGTCAGCACATCCCGTTTCAGGGTGACCTGTCAGGGCTACAGGGCTATAGAGATTGAAAAGATAAAAGGAGTGAAGCCAGGGCACAGTGACACAATGAAATATGACAGTCTGCCCCTTGCCTCTGATGCCTGCATGAGGAGGGGTTCTGCAGTACTAGTGGGATGAACGGTTGCTTTCCAAAATGCCCTTTTGTATTCCTTTCTTTTATTAAAAAACAAGACAGTGACATTGCTAAAAAGGCGAAAATAATCACATTAACTGACAGATAAAAATGAAATTAAAATAAGAGAGGGAGTGGGTTAAACTTCACATCAGGACTCAGCCATCAATATAATTGCTGACACAATCTACTGCAACAGCAGGCATTCACACCTTGTAAACGAGATCAAGAATGGAGGAGAAATTAGATTTACAGACACTTATATTTTGAATAGTCATTTAGTGTTAATTTAGTATAGGTTTTCTTCTCCCCTTATAAAATATCCCTGACAGGTTTTAACCTCTGTTTAAAAATGTTCAGGACAGAACATTCACTACACACGTCCCCGTGACAACTCAGTCATTATTGCATATAGTGTATTAACAAGCTCTATCTGAAACTTACTCAGAACTTTCTCTAACTTCTCTCCATTGACCTGCCTCCTTCCATCTGGAATTATGCTGCAGAAGGCAAATCTCCCTTTTATAGACTAGACTTTCAAAATTTGTTCAGGCTTAAAATCCCTAGTTTCTTATTTAAAAAAAAAAAAGTAATTCTTATTTTCCTTTGGTTATCCACACTTCAAGGGATTCTGAGATGCAAAATGGTATAAAACTACAAAAAGCAGAACTATAATTTCCCTCACTGATATGGACCCATCAGAAATAAGTAGCTAAATGTTATTCTAAAAAACTGATTAAAACATATAAATTCCATTATATGATAAACTTAAAACTCACTGCAGAAAGCTACTTTATTCTTCTCAGGTAAACATTGATGTAATAGTTGTTTACTTTCTTTCTATTCTAGAACTGAGTTTCTAATGGATATCTTGGTATAATTACAAGGCCGCTCATCAAAATCTGAAAAGTTATATTGAAACTACCTTCAGATATTAAATGCAAAATAATCATATGTAATGCCAACATACACAAATGAGCAATCGTGGGGTTT